GGCTACCAGAGCCAAGGTCCGTCACGGACCCAGCCGTGGACTGGAAACATTGCAAACGTAAACCTCTGGAAACGACGGCACCCGCCTCACCGCGAGCCCCACCTCCAGGGGAAGGGGTAGCAGGAATGAAATGGGGTCGCCATTTCAGTTGGAGAGCTCTCCTCTTTGCTAGCCTCGCCCGCCTGGATTTCAAAAGCTGCATCCTCATTCCACGACGTTCTTTTGCAAAACAAAAGACGAGATTGGTGGCCGCGCCGTGGCCACCAGCATGCCTGTTAAAAAGATTGCTCAGGAGCTGATGGACCGCAGCCGCTGGCGCCGCGGCCGCCGCGGGAGAGTCGGCCGCCACCTCCGCGTCAACGGGCGCTCCAGCCGCTACGGTCAGCGCCGGCGCAGCGGCGCCAGGATCTCCGACCCCTGCTGCCTCTGCTCCACGGGGCAGTACCTGCAGCAGCACTCGTCCGAAACTGGATGCCGTGTCCTCATGACTTGTACGTAGTCGCTTCGCAGCCTTGCGCTGAGCTTGCTTGATCAACAGTCGCTCCACCCGCTCCTGCTGCGCGGCCTCATGAGCTCCCTTTCGGGCGCGCTTCCTGAGACCTTCAAGCTCATCGCGATGGTTGTCGCCATATTCAGAAGCCGCCATATCCGAGTCCGCGTCGTCATCCTTGACGTTGATGTACATGCGCCGTAGCATCTGCCAGTGCTCCAGCTTCTGTTTGTCGTGCTCCACACACACACACCAGCGCTCAAGCCCTTCTTCATCCAGCGAACCCAGGTCAGGAGGGTGAAGAGCACCAGCAGGCGCATCACCGGCAACGCGAGCAGGTAGATGGCCATCGCCTCCGCCACCGCCATGGCCAGCGCCGCCCGGGGCGCCCCCGGGCAGCGGGGGCAGCCACTTGGGATGCGCCCCCGCCGCCGCCCGCAGGCACCGCCGCGGCAGCCCGAACTCCGCTGCGAGGAACACCTGGTGGGCCGCCTGCAGCGGCCACCCCGGGAGCCACCCCGCGGCCCAACACCGCGGCGGCAGCCGCCTGCGCGACCTGCAGCGCGCGGGCAGCTTCAGCGCGGACTCGATCTTCTTCAGCACGCGGTTGCCGACGAAAGTCAGCCTCCACCACGAAGCCGTCTTTCGCCACCGTAGCCGCACGCAGCAGCTTTTGCTTCTCCTCAAGAACTTGAACAGCTTCGCGATGTTGCCGCTCAACTCCCTGAAGCGCCTCGCGGTGGCGCGCGACAACGGCAAGCCTCGCCTCCACGTCGCCCTGCGCGATGCGCTCCGCTCCGGACTGAACTTCGACCTCCTTGGCCAGCGCCGTGCGCTGTGCCGCCACCTTCTTCTCCATCTCTTCCTCTGTGACAGGCTCAGGAGGAGGCTCAGGCTGAGCCACGGGCACCGCCGCCGCAACAGCGCCCAGACCCTCCAACACGCCTGCCAAGTGCGGGAACTTCTTGGCCAGCTGCTCCAGCTCGCTCGCGAAAGCAACACCAGAAACAGCAGGCTCAGCTTCGTCATCCACATCAGTTGACCCGCACTTGCTGCAATGCCAATTGCCGTACTTGTCAAACTCCCAGTGTTGACACAAGCTGCACACGGAGCAGGAATCATTGCGGTTGGATCGCCAGCCACCGCCATCGTAGCCACGCTTGCGTCCGCTTCGCCGTTGGTGCCAGGGGGCGCGGAAACGCCACGACATGAAAGCCTGCTCTCGGGAGCCCAACTCCCGAAGTAAAGGCCAGACAGCATTGAGGCGGGGGCCCAACTCCCGCAGCAAAGGCCAGAAAACAATGCGGCGGGGGCCCAACTCCCGCAGGAAAGGCCAAACAATGCCAGGCTGAACGGCCTTGCCTGCCGCGGACTAGCGAGCGGTATCCACTCCTTGGCAGGGCCAACCAGGAATCTTGAGCCAACATGGCTAAGGGGAGGAGGAGGAGGAGGAGGAGGAGGAGGAGGAGGAGGAGGAGGAGGAGGGATGAGGAGGAGGAGGAGGAGGAGGAGGAGGAGGAGGAGAGAGGAGGAGGAGAAGGGAGGAGGAGGAGGAGGAGGAGGAGGAGGAGGAGGAGGAGGAGGAGGAGGAGGAGGAGGAGAAGGAGGAGGAGGAGAAAGAGGAGGAGTAGGAGGAGGACGAGGAGGACGAGGGAGACAGAGGGAGGGGGAGGGGGATGAGGATGAAGAAGCGCAGGATGAGGAGGAGGAGGAGGAGGAGGAGGCGGAGGAAGAGGAGCAGGAGGAGGAGGAGGAGGACGACGACGACGACGAGGACGAGGACGAGGACGAGGACAAGGAGGAGGAAGAGGAGGAGGAGGAGGAGGAGGAGGAGGAGGAGGCGGGAGAAGGAGGAGGATGATAGGACTTAGGCTTGGGATAGGGATTAGTCTCCAGCCAGACAGGGCGGCCACACCACCAGCAGTGGCCCCTCCCTGGCACCTCGCGCTGTGGTGGTGGCGTCGCCTCTCCGTGCTCATTCGTCCCCGAGACCCGACGGTGCGAGAAAATTGCAGCAGCGAGGAACAGATCCTGGCCGGAGCCCTGGGCCTCGTCTCTCTGCAGCAGGTGTCTCGAGCCGCATCCATCCGAAGCAGAGCAGCGCATCGCCTGGGGCGTGAGAATTGCGACGCCGGGGTCTCCGGGGTGTACGCGCCGCCGAGAGGCACCTGCCCGTGCGCGGGCACCTCCTCATCCTCGGCTGGAACGAGACGACGTTCTTCTTGCTGAACGAGCTGCTGTCGGCAGAGCGCGATGCTGGCTTCCACGGAAAGCCCGCCGGCTTCTTGGGCATCCGCGGGCGCGGGCGCCGGCTCCAGATAGTGCTGCTGGCCCCGCGCGACGAGATAGAGATGGCGCAGGAGGTCCCGCCGCTCGCACATCAGCGGCCGCACCCCAACATTCAAGGGAGGAGAAGCCACTCAGACCGGACAGCTGGCGTTTACAAAACAAATAATTGCCCTGCCCTCTTCGACTCTTTCTCTGGGTGCGTTTACGAAACGGCTTCGCGTGTCGGGGTGGTTATTATCGGGTTAGATTTTCTGCCTTCGAAACATGCGAATGCATGCTAGTACTATGTGTGCGTCGCTCCGCCCCCAAGGGCGACGCGCGCGCCGAGAGATTCTATATTGCATGCTCCGTGGCAGACGCTTTCTAGCCGTACCGCTCGGGGAACGATCTACGGTAGGTTCGTGCGGCGTTGGCGCGCCGGCGACGCCGGCGAAAGCATTCAAGGTTGAACTCTGCGACGCGGAAGCACCGAGGGGTACGCTAACGCCTTTGGACCCGACTGAATTCAACCTCGAACGATCGGGGCCACGATCGGTTCCAGGTTGAAAGATCGACGCGTTGTCCAACTTTTTTTTGCGCGCCGACGCCGCGCGAACCTACCGTGCTGCGATATGGTTGTGCTATAGGTCTGGATCGGCCGCACGCCTTCTTGCATGACACGTCGTATCAGTACGTCCTGGTTTGTGCGTCCAGCATCAGCGGCATCGTTCGTCACGTCGGTACGTAGGGGGACCTCGTCTGTCCTGAAGCGGACCTTCTCTCGTGCTTCACGTGTGTTCGCAGCGGAGTCGACGCAGTATTGACGTGGATTTGACAAATGCGACGCGGATTCGACGTGAATTCGACGCTGGTTTAACAAGTTCGACATGTATTCGACGCGGTTTCGACGTGGATAGCGGCACGATGGGATAGACATGATCGCCCGACGACGCAACAGAAGTTGGGGGTAATGCATTGGGCACATAAAATGAGAAATGAGCTTATCACGGAGGTCTCTTATCCCCGGTGGCCCCAGGGATCCGCAAATGCTCTCGAGCATCTTGGCACCCTCAAAAACCGACATCCACTGTGCCTACTGAAGGCGCAGGGGCGTCCTGGCGGCTCGCACGCGGGGGGGCTGGCGCGATCGATTTGTCGAAAGGTAGCACCAGTTGTTCGAAAGTTCTTGAGGCCCAGGGCGGCTTCCATCATCCGCGCCTGGTCGAGAATGTTCCGTGTGGGGGCCAGGACTGTCCCCAGCGGCCGCCAGAGGCCCGATAGCTCATCGCCGGCATGGGCCTGATAGCTCATCTCGCCCAGGAGCGCACGGTTCCTCATAGGGGGCGGGGGCCAATCGCCGCTCCAGCGTCGATGTGCCACCGATTCCAGGTCGATATTTCCCCCCGGAGGCGTTCGCCCCTCTCGTTCCATCTCAGCACTCGGGGGGGGGGGGCGCGCGAGGGTGGCGCCTGGAAGAACACGGTGGGGTCATCGACGGCATGGGCCTTCTTATCAGAAGGGCCAAGAGGCTTCGAAGAAGGCGAGCTGGCGGCTGGCAAGGCTTCTGAGAAGCCGCCTGCTTTCGTAGGGCACCCCCATTTTGGTCGCAACAGGGCCGCCCCCATCGCTGCGCGCCGCGGGGAGGTGCGCATGCACTTCCTTAACACCGGCAAGGACACGAGGTGCATCCACTTCTGGGAGGGCGACCCTGCCGACAGGATACAGATTTTTTCGGGCAAGAGAACAATGTTCCTCCCACGAATGATTCCTCCAAGCCAATCTCGAAGAAGAGAAAGCTGCAAAAGCCTTAGCTTTCGGAGTTCCGCCCGGATTTCTCGGATCGGCGTGGGCTCCGGGGGGGCGCCTCTGGGGCCGCCTCTGTCGCGCTCTGCGCGCTGTCTATGCTTACTCCTTCTCCGCTAAAGTCTTCCTCAAAAGGAGTTCTTCCTCAAAAAAGCCGCCCTCCAACAAACAATAGGACACAGCTGATGAATGCGAGCGCCTCCCAGGCCGAGACCAACATATTCTTCCCCAGCATGTCGCTCCTCCAAGGAACTATTCCTCTAACGATGTGTCCTGGTCCCGTGAATGAAATGGGTACAGGTCCCTGAAAGAAAGTGCCTCCCAGGCCCTGACCAACATATTCTTGCCCTGCCTACTCTTCCTCCCAGCAAATCTTCCTTTCAATAACGTTATTCAAAGAGTGCTTGCTCGGAAAGATCGAATCAACAGGATACAGCTGATGAAGGTGAGCGCCTTCCAGGCTGAGAATATCCTTGTCACGGGCTCCGAGAGCCGCGGCGCCGACCAGGAGGTCGTCCGCACCCTGCTCGCGCTGGCCGCCCTACTCGGCGAGTCTCCCGCGGTGCTCGCCGTGAAGGAAACGGGTCCCGAGGCAACGGGTCCTGAAGGTTTCTCGCCGTTCCCAGATCTTTTGGATCATACAAAAATCACGACGGACGGTGTTGTTGCTATTTTCGGCCTCTGGGGGCCCTCGCCAGGCCCTCGGACCGTGAAAGACTTTTCGAGGATGAGACGCTTGTCCTGGGGAACAGGTCGAGACCTTAGGGGGTCACGCCATGAATCAATCGTGACGTCTGGGGTCTGGGTGTTCGGGCATATGACGGAACGATTCAGGATTAGCACGCGACGATATTCATACATATAAGCCTTGCCTTCGAGAGCGAGAGCGACAGGAATTGCCATCTCTTCCTCGGCGGAAGGCGGCGGAATGCCACCGGAAGGCGGCGGAAATAAAACGAGGCCGCCTCCGCTGGCGGAAGCCAGCGGAAAGGCCGGCGGAAGGCGACGGAAGCCAAGGCCGACTTCCTAAGAGATGAACGCGTTTTGGGGTCCTAGGGCTCTCGCAATCGGCCAATGTTTGTTTTTGTTTGTATGTGTGCCTATTTGTGCTTTTTGCTCGTTGCGCCCGGCTGCTGCTGCCCGCCCGCTTGCTCATCGTCGAACTCTTCGGCGTCTGAGCGTCCCTCCTTCTTCTCGGCCGTCCCCCTTCCCCCTTAACTCGCCGGCCAATTCGCTAGTTAGTGCCCTTATCTAGCTCCACGCTGGAGCGGATTTCGCTGCCTCGCCGCTGACCAAAACAAGTGTCTTGCTCGTTTTGCAAATTCTGCTCGCAGCCTCCGCAGCCTGATGATGCCTCAGTGGGCCAGGGGGCGCGGGGCGATCCACGATCACCTCGCCTTCGGACCGGCTGCGGCGGTTGGCAAGGTGACAAGCCCCGCCCGGGGACCGCCTAGGCTCCGTGGGCCTTCCACGATGGGCCGATCCTCCACCACCAGTACCACAGGTCGGAGAGAGAGGAAGAAAAGGAGGAGGAGGAGGAGGACCTCCCCATTCTTCTTTTTCCCCGTCCTGCCTATGGTAGTGGTGGTGGGACATCGGCCCATCACTCCACGGGCCCCAGGACCCTCAAACAATCAGTCGGCATGAATATCTGGCCATGGGGGAAGGCCCCAGGTTCCACGGGCGTTTTTCCTGAGGGCCCGTTTCGAATCTTCGTGCCAAGGTGCAGGTCTTCGGCGAAATCCGGCATCCCGAGAAGACGACCGTCATCGGGACGCTGCTGCCAAAGGTCGAGGCTCCAGTTGTGATGTTGGCCGATGTTTCGCACATCTGGCCTCTGAGGGGCCACGCCGTGCCCCAGGACCGTCAAGAAACGGCTCAGTATGAAAAGTTCGTGCCGGGGAATGGGTCGAGAGTTTTTGGGGTGGAGGTCATGAAGACAATACAACGTCGGGGGAGGACTCGCTTGAACGCTAGAATTCGGAGGTCCGCGCGGATATCTTGAGTCGGCGCTGCCCCGCCCCCCCCGGCGGCGCCTTTGGCGCTGCCTGCGCGCCAGGGAAGGTGTCCAGCGCCGATCCAGGAAAACCGCCCAGACATCCCAAGCTTTCTGTGCATGCCGTCGTTGTTTCCACTTAAAAAGGCGAAGGCCATCGTGGCGCGCACCGAGGTCAACCGGGTGTTGGTCCTGCGCGCCTTGGTGCCGTCCGTGGGTTTCTGCATGAAGGAGATGACGACGTTCAAGGTCAGCCACGCGCAGAGGGGGGCAGGCGGAGGGGGGGAGGTGTCTCAGAAGTACCCCTGCTTCTTAGAAGGCGCGGGCCTTGTCTACTGTGATGTAGGGCCGGCGCCTTCTAGGAAACAGCCTCCTTCAAAGGAGCCCTCCCCCCTCCCCCCTCCCCCCTTTTCTGCGCGCCGTCGGCAAGGAGGGCACCAGCGAGCTGTATCTGCGGCCTGTGCCGCCAGAGCTCGTCGGGTGGACCTTCTTCGACGTGGCCCAACTGTTCACCCGCAGCGTCGTCTGCGGCGTGCAAGCGGGCGGCGGGGCCCCGAAGCTGATGCCCAAGGCGAAGACGGAGCTGAGGCCGGGCGGCAAGAGCTGCCCAGAGCCGCTGCTCCTGGCCAGGCCCAGCCTGGGCCCAGGAGCCGTGCGCATGCATTCCTGGCCAAAGCCGGGAGGGTCCTGCGCACCCAGGCGCCCGACGTCGTGTGCTTTGCTGCAGCGTCGGCACCCAGAGATCTGGACCCCTTCCCCAGGACCGGGTTCTCCTCCGCAGCCGTTCCTTGACGGTCCCGGGGCCTGGTGAGGGTCCCGGGAGGCCGAAGATAGCGAACAACCTCCCGCCGTGGTCTCTGCACACAGCGCGAGGGGGGCTTGGGCACTGCTCCGGGGCCCAGCATGGGCTTTTGCCGGGAGCAGTGGATCTACACGGACCTCGCCGCCCTGTGAGGGAGGGCGACCAGCTCTTGATCCTGGCCCGCAGCCAGAGCGACGCGGGCATCTGGCTGCGGCCAGGCGCCCCGGACGCCCCGCCGCTGCTCGGGGGTTCCGAGGATTTCGGAGCAAGAACCAGCCGGCGTGCCGCCTGGTTCCGATGGTTTTGCTATGGAAATCGTGACGTTCCCACCGCAAAAAACCAATGGACGCCCTGGGGTCTCAGGGTTGGGTTTCTTGTGGAAGGTTTCTTGTGGTCGAGCTTCCACAGTAAGCAACAACAACTATCCGGGGGTACGCGCGGCTCTCTCCCACGAGCATCGATCTAGCTCCAATTAGGGCCCAGTTCTAATTAAGGCTCCTCGCCTTAAATTTAGCGTCGTAGCCTTGAATTTACAGCGACGACGTCGCTGGATGATCTAGCGACGAACAAGTCGTGACGACGACGACGCGTTGTTGTTCCATGAGGCGCGCTCCTCTTGCAATATGATCAGTTCTTCACGCGCGGAGGAGGCCATGCCTCCTGCAGCGTGGCATGCGCTGCATGAAGAGGCGCGCTTCCCCCGCCATGGGCGCGCTTCTCGGCGTATTGACGGGGCGCCGCCTCCTTGAAAGGATCATGAGGGAACTTCACGGGGAGGTTTGGCCTCCTGCAGGGCGAAGACCGAGGCGGGTAGAAGGGGGGGGGAGGGGAGGGGATAGGGACGGAAGGAGGAACGATGATGCTCCGAGGGAGAAGGGGGGGGAGAGGGAGGCCGCGCCTCCTGTGAAGACGGAAGAGCATCGAACTGATCCTTCGGCGCCGCAGTTTTTGTCAGTGCTCAAGGCCGTGTCAGCTGGGCCCCCACCTCCGCGCGGGGCAAATCCAATGTCGTTCCCGCGGGCGAAGGCGGCGATCAACCGGGAGGACCTGAACGAGCTCATCCGCAAGTGGCAGGGCGAGATCCAGGGGTTCTACTGCGCGGGCCGCTACGAGAACATCGTGCGCCTGAGCGTGTTTTTCCTGGCGGCCGCGAATGCGGAGACGCCGAAGCTGTCCGCGAAGGACATCCAGAAAAGGGCTCAAGGACGTGCTCGGAGAGACGGACTGCACGGCCGTGTCATGGTCGAAGATGATGGTGGAGACGTAGGCATGGCGCAACAAGAAGCGGCGCGACGACAAGGCGACGCAGCGCTTGTCACCCGCTCCGACAAGCTCGTGGACGAGCATGTTGATTACAACGCGCTGGAGGTCGCGAGGGATGGGGAGGGGTTCCCGCTGCGGAAGGGGCCCATGGGCTTCGCCGTGATCGCTGTTGACGGCGAGGTGATCGAGACGCTTGTGCCGAACGCCACGGTGGAGGCCGCGGAGAGGGGGGGGGGGCTTCGATCGATGACGAGGCGCGGCAGGCCCACCCGAAGGGCGGGGCCAGGAAGAAGCCAGCGGCCGCGCAGAAGAAGCCAGGGTGCGCCGTCGTCGACAGCGACGACGAGGAAAGGGAGAGCAGCGACGAGAGGGCGGACTCGGACGCAGATGCCGCCGCGAGCGACGCGCCCAGGAGGAGGCCCGCTGCCGCCGCCGCGGGCGAGGAGGGGCAGGGCCTGCGCGCGGATCCGCCCCCGGAGCCGAGGCCGCCCCAAGAAGGCAAGGCGCGGGTCGCCATGTGGCACAAGCGGGACCAGGCGGCGGCGGTCCGCCAGGCGCGCAAGCCTGGGAGACAGCTCGCGCAATGGTCTTCGGGCGGCAAGTACACAGAGGATCTGGTGAGGCAGATGGCCGCGGAGTCGGTTGCGAAGTTGTCCACGGGCGAGATCGCGGAGGGCGAGGTGCGCGCGAAGGGGCTGGAGTTCCTGCGCTCGCGCGACGCACATGCATTGCCGCTGGGTGCGCACCGCTGTGTATAATGACAAATGAGCGAGCCAGCGCGGGCGAATTCTCTGCCTCAGATTGAATGCGTCGCACTTTAATCCGCGCGCACATGCCACTGACAACGGCGCGACGCGCGCGTCGCAGAAACAGGCGCGCGGCGGGAAAGAGGGGGGGGCTGGGGCTGGATGGGGGTCGGGGCGCGACGGGGGGTGGAGGAGGGGTGGGGGGGGTGGGGGGTGGGTGCAGCGGAGCAGCGGGGTGGGGCCCTGCCCCCTGCTCGGCGGCCGCGCCTCCGCCATCGCAGGGCGCCGCGCTGCGCGCGTCAGGAGGCGCCGCCTCCTACGTCATCCTGACCCAAAGGCAGCGGGATGCATGTGTTTCTCGCCCGCCGCAGCCACTCGCGCTCCGCGGAGCGCGCGCGAAGCGCTCGGGGCATCGCGGGCCCCCCCGGCCCCCCCCGCGGGGCGTCGGCCCCTCCGACCGCCAGGGCCGCGGCGGGCCCGCGCCTGGCAGCGCCGCCGCTGCTGCTCGCGCAGCAGGCGGAGGGGCGAGGGAGGGGGGAGTGGGATGGGGGGGGCTTGGGAGGAGGCAGCGCCTCCTGCTTGGGTCACGGGGGGGGGCGCCAGTGCCCCCCCCTCAAATGCCCGCAGGCGGCCGCCGTGCAGCGCGGCACCCTCGGCGCGGCCGCGGCCTGCCCGGGCGGCGGAGGCGCCCCGCCAGGCGGCGGCGGCGGCGAGAAGCGCCGAGACGGGCTTCCATCAGACGCGCCGGACGACGAGGAGGACGAGGAGGAGGAGGAGGCGGTGCCCGGCACCGGCGCCTCCTGGCTGGAGCGCGCGGAGGGGAAGCGCGCGGGGCGAATCTGGCTGAAAAGCCGAGGCTCACAGCGGCGCATGCATTGCGGGGGGGGAGCGCGCATCGCCCAGCGCGTCTCGCATCGGTGCTAGGCGCGGAACCAGGGGATCTACAACGCGCGCCGCGCGAATGTGGCGCGGCCCAAGGCCCGCGACAGGGCGGCGAAGGGGGCGCGCCAGCGCGAGCCCCCTGGAAGTTACAAACACACTCCCAAGGCGTAGCGGCGCGCCCCCCCCCCCCCCCCCCCAGGCTCCTGCAGCGGAAGCGGCTGAACGCCGAGATCCGCGCGGGGCGGCAGGCGCGGCGGGCGAGGGCGGCGACGGAACGCTCCAGAACCCCGCGCCTGGGGCAACGCGGGATTCGAGCAGTGCGAGAGGGAGGGGGAAGAGTGGAACCTCGAGGCTCGACGTCGAGTTTCGAGTTTCGACTGTCGAAGTTCGACCTTCGGACTTCGAAGTGCGAAGTGCGAGCTTCGCAGTTGGAGCGTCGAACTCCAACCCGCGAGCTTCGGGCTTCGAAGTTCACTGCGAACTCTGAGGCTCCAAAAGCCAGAGAAAGAGAGAGAGAGAGAGAGAGAGAGAGAGAGAGAGAGAGAGAGAGACAGAGAGAGAGAGAGAGAGAGAGAGAGAGAAAGAGAGAAACACAGAGGGGTTGACGTGCATTCCATGACATATATAGATATATAAAGAGAGGTATAAAGATAGACAGAGAGGGGGCGATGTGTAGACAGCCAGAGAGAGAAAGAGAGAGAGAGACAGAGAGAAAGAGAGAGAGAGAAAGAGAGAAAGAGAGAAAGAGAGAAAGAGAGAAAGAGAGAGAGAGAGAGAGAGAGAGAGAGAGAGACAGACAGACAGACAGACAGACAGACAGAGAGACAGACAGACAGACAGACAGACAGACAGACAGACAGACAGACAGACAGACAGACAGACAGACAGACAGACAGACAGACAGACAGACACAGACAGACAGACAGACAGACAGACGACAGAGACCGACAGACAGGCAGACCGACAGACAGACAGACAGACAGACAGACAGACAGACAGACAGACATATAGACAGGCAGACAGACAGACAGACAGACAGACAGACAGACAGACAGACAGACCTACAGAGTCAGAGAGGGATACATAGAGAAAGAGAGAGACAGACGGAGAGCAACGCAGAAGCAGAGATAGAGAGAGAGAGAGAGAGGGAGAGGGAGAGGGAGAGGGAGAGGGAGAGAGAGAGAGAGAGAGAGAGAGAGAGAGAGAGAGAGAGAGACCAAAAAAATAAAGAGAGAGAGAGAGAGAGAGAGAGAGAGAGAGAGAGAGAGAGAGAGAGAGAGAGAGAGAGAGAGAGGGGGAGGCGACGCCTCCAGCTCGCAGCCAGCGTCTCTCCAGGCGCGGGGCGACGGAATCCACCGTCGCCCCGCGCCTGGACGCCGAGATCCGCGCGGGGCGGCAGGCGCGGCGGGCGAGGGCGGCGACGGAACGCTCCAGAACCCCGCGCCTGGGGCAACGCGGGATTCGAGCAGTGCGAGAGGGAGGGGGAAGAGTGGAACCTCGAGGCTCGGCGTCGAGTTTCGAGTTTCGACTGTCGAAGTTCGACCTTCGGACTTCGAAGTGCGAAGTGCGAGCTTCGCAGTTGGAGCATCGAACTCCAACCCGCGAGCTTCGGGCTTCGAAGTTCACTGCGAACTCTGAGGCTCCAAAAGCCAGAGAAAGAGAGAGAGAGAGAGAGAGAGAGAGAGAGAGATAGAGAGAGAGAGAGAGAGAGAGAGAGACAGAGAGACAGAGAGAGAGAGAGAGAAAGAGAGAAACACAGAGGGGTTGACGTGCATTCCATGACATATATAGATATATAGAGAGAGGTATAAAGATAGACAGAGAGGGGGCGATGTGTAGACAGCCAGAGAGAGAAAGAGGAGAGAGAGAGAGACAGAGAGAGAGAGAGAGAGAGAGAAAAAGAAAGAGAGAGAGAGAGAGACAGACAGACAGACAGACAGACAGACAGACAGACAGACAGACAGACAGACAGACAGACAGACAGACAGACAGACAGACAGACAGACAGACAGACAGACAGACAGGACAGACAGACAGACAGACAGACAGACAGACAGACAGACAGACAGACAGACAGACAGACAGACAGACAGACAGACAGACAGACAGACAGACAGACAGACAGACAGACAGACAGACAGACAGACAGACAGACAGACAGACAGACAGACAGACAGACAGACTACAGAGTCAGAGAGGGATACATAGAGAAAGAAAGAGACAGACGGAGAGCAACGCAGAAGCAGAGAGAGAGAGAGAGGAGAGGGAGAGGGAGAGAGAGAGAGAGAGAGAGAGAGAGAGAGAGAGAGAGAGAGAGAGAGAGAGAGAGAGAGAGAGAGAGAGAGAGAGAGAGAGAGAGAGAGAGAGAGAGAGAGAGAGAGAGAGAGAGACAGAGAGAGAGAGAGAGAGAGAGGGGGAGGCGACGCCTCCAGCTCGCAGCCAGCGTCTCTCCAGGCGCGGGGCGACGGAATCCACCGTCGCCGCCGCCGTCCGCGCGGCCAGGACCCAGCCAGGGCGCAGCGCCCCAGGGCGCGCCGCGCGAGCCCGAGGCCGCTCCCAGGGCCACCACCAGCAGGAGCAGCAGCAGCAGCTGCAGCAGCTGCACCGAGAGGAGGAGACGCACCAGCCGCGGCCGCAGCCGCACCAGCCGCAGCTGCAGCAGAAGAAGCACCTGCAGCAGAAGACGCAGCAGCAGCAGCGGGAGGGGGCCTCGTGGCGGGAGGCGCCCGCGGCCCGCCACAACCGCGCGAGGCGCAGCCACCCGCGGAAGCAGCGGCGCGGACGAACCGCCGCCACCAGAACAAGCTGTGGCCGCGCCAGCAGAGCCCAAGGCCGCACCAGCAGGGCCCGAGGCAGGAGCCCCAGCTCAGGGGGCAGCAGCGCCGACCGGAGTCCTCCACGGGCATGCCCTCTCCGGGGCAGCAGCGCCAGCAGCGGCAGCAGCAGCAGCGCCCGCGGCGCCGGCGGGCTTCTTCGCGGCAGCTCCAGGGGCGGCAGCAGCAGAGGTGCCGCGGCCCTGCGGGGTGGCCCCAGCCTTCCTGCCGTCCACGCCGAAGACGCACTGCGCTCCCAAGGCGCCCGCGCTGGCAGGGCCCCCAGACGCGCCAGCGGCGCCGACGGCGCCGCCAGCGCAGCCGGCGGCGCCACCGCTGCAGCCAGTGGCCGCACTACAGCAGCCAGGCGGCGATGCGTGGTGGGCTGACCCCGCGCAGAATGCCTGGAAGCAGCTGAATGCTTGGCAGCAGCGCAATGCCGGGCAGCAGCAGTTCCCGCCGTGGCACACGCCGCAGGCGCAGCAGCAGCAGCCGCACCCGCGATGTGGCTTCCCACCGCAGCCGCCGCAGCAGGTACAGATTCCAGCACGCGGACTCCCGCCTGCTCCTCAGGCGCACGCCTCGCCCCAGCAGCTCCAGCACCTGCAGTCGCAGCGCGTGGCCATCCAGCAGCAGCTAAAAAACCTTCCAGCAGGCGCAGCAGCAGGCGTTGCAGCAGGCCGCGGACGTCGCCGCCGCCATCCAGACGCTGCGCTGGCAGATGGGACTGGGCCCCACGGATCATATTTAGGCATTCGGGCGTTTGCGAAGCGATTCAATTTCCAGGAAGGCCACGAATGGCGTCGACGAGGGACGCCCACCCCACCGACTCCACACGAGGTCGCCCTGGGAGTTCGATCGCGCAAACTTCCGAGCGAGGCCCTGTCTGCGCAAGGCGACGGAGGCAGCGGCTGCCCTAGGCGGCGGCGCAAGGAGTTCGGGAAATGCAATGCGAAAGCGAGGAGGCTTCGCCTCCTGGACACCCCCTTTCTGGCCCTCCTCTCTGATCTGCCTCCCTAAGATTCTCTTCCAAACCCACCTCATATGTCCGATCCCACTCTCATCCTTCGAGTGCAACTCCACTCTCCCCCGTCTGATCTCCATCGCGCTCCAGACCCTTTTATCTGCATTCTCGCCGCCGCGCCCCGAGGGCGGCACCCTCGGCGCCATGGGCGACCGCGGCAGCCTGGGCTCTGACGTGTTGCGCGCGAGTGTGCGCCATCTATCTATATATATATATATATATATGAATATATATATATATATATATA